ATCGAACGAAGCCAGTATTGATCCATTGTCGACCGGGCAAGATAAGCTTGTTTTTTCGGATAGATAATCAGAATCGCAATATTCCCTTCATCTTGCCCACTCGCGAAACCAGCCATATAATAATAAGAATTCACAGATTGAACACAAATTGAACCGGAAGCAACCAGATACTGATAACCGCCTGAAGTGGTTTACATGGGTGTCCGCCGAAAAAGAGTTCATTATACATGAATACAGAAACCTAACAACGACATACAGTGGAACGTCTGTGTGCCACCTCTTCTCGAGTTTTTTAACCATCAAAATCTGTTTGCCTTGTACTGGCCCCAGTTTTTCAAAAGTTGGATGGCGCTATCCTCCAGGGCCCAGTTGTTCAAAAGGTGAATAACGCTATCCATTGTACAAGTCACTATCCACTGAATAGCGCAATTGGTTTCCCTAATACTTATCCGCTGGATAGTGATTTATCCGGTGGATAGTGCGATCCAGTGTTTGAACAAGCCGGGCCAGATAAATCACTATCCAGTGGATAAATATGAGGGAAACCAATTACGCTTTCCAGTAGATAGTGATTTATCCGGTGGATAGAGTTATCTACATTTTGAACAGCTGGCGCCAGCACTATAATAAATTGGAGCCTCTTGTGAGTGACCGTCCTCTGTAGACGACCACCACATCTTGGCATTTTGGATGGTTGCTTGCGGAAGGTTTGGCCGTACTTCACTTCAGTCAGAGAAGGGAAGAATTTTTAAAACTTACTTAGATGGATTTGATAATTTATCGATTTAAATTCCGTAACATCGTTTCTGTTTTTTAGCAATGTAAGGCCTCTGCAATGAAATAATAATCTGAAGTATAAGTTAAAAAGTAGTCACAGAAAATTTGCAAATCGACACTTGGACGCCACTACCTTCTTTCTTATGAAACTCAACTGTTGCTGATGCTTGGAAGGCAACACAAAAGAAGAACCTCACAGTGATAGATCTTGCTAATTTAGGCAGTTGCGAATAAATAACTTGAGAAGTATTGAAAATGCTGTTCTTAGCTGTGTTAAAAATTAATACTTGACGATAATTGTGACGTTAATAACACTTATTTTGACTGAGGTATGAAGCGAGTTAACGAAATCGTATTTCGTGAAATTACAATCACGATCCCACGACGTATCATTTAGCCGCCCCTCGCAGTCGTTTTTGTTCCTTCACGAAACGCGCGAGACTAACTTTCTTTGAGTAGCGCGTTAATGCTATTAATATTTGTTTGGATTTACCCTTAGGATGTTTTCCTTGTTGTCACGTCTTCTCATGAATGCTTCCCAGTCGGTGGAGTCAAAGAACGCTTTTAGCTCACATTCAGTGACTGTTGTACAGAAACTCGTTATTCCTAACTGTGTGTGGCAGGCAGGAAGGTAAATTCATATTGAATGTTGCTGAATAGGTGTGCTGTATTTAATGCACCTTTTTAAACAGGACTTTTGACAATGCCAAATGTTTGTTACAATTTGAGCAACAATGTGAACGAACTTCTTTTACTTCCAGAACTGCTGCCGCTGTCCGTTCTGCAGCCATCTCTTGTCTCTGGGCGTTACTAAACTCTAATTTGTTATCTTCTCAATATGCCGCGCAAGTAATGAAGGATCTTCTCACTCAGGTATTGCAAATCCACACTTGAACTCTGAACATACTTTTTGAAGACTAGTGTGTGTGTGTGTGTTTTTTTTTAACAAACTGAGGCCTTTTTGTTATCTTTCCTAAAGCTTATAACTTGCTTGGACGACCATAATCAAACAACACGGCTTGTAACATGTAAAGCTCTTCAAAGATTACTGGTATCCTGCAAAGACACTTTTAATGGTAATGTGTTTCTTTTCTCAGTTACGCTAGTTATGTGGCAGAATGACTGAACAAGGGTAGTGTCACCGTAATTTAGTGCTACTTGTTGATAGCAACGCAATTTCCTTAAGAGTGACCTGGTCTTAGTGCAAGTTACTTTAGAAGGCTGATGTGGCTAATCAAAACTGTTCAAGTGTCTTTGCTCATAAGTGGGGGGGGGGGGNGATTTTGTCATTGAAGGGAATGGCAGGATCTGATTGGGTGGAAATAGTATTAGCCAATCAAACAGATATTGCGAGGTTTAATTCCACTATAGGTGAGATACTGTGGGACTAGCACCGTCTAGTACGTCTAATTCTAGTTGACGTAAAGTTTACTTTGTCCCTTCTGTCTATTTTCAGTGGATATGCTTCACCAAATCTACCCAGAGTTACTGAAAAGAATGGATGATAGTAGTGATGAAATTAGGGTCGTTGTCACCAAAACCTTTCTTGCTTATTTTAGGTGAGGATTATAAACTGTTAGTCAAGTACCTTTATAGATGTGGTTCAATTTTGTCCTTGGTTCTGATTTCATTTTCCTTCGTTTTAAACTCATCAAACATTACCATATCCAAAAGCAAAGGAATATAAAATTTGATCTAAGGAAAAAATTGAGCCACAACATAAACGCTCTAATATTTGATAGACTAACTAAAAAAGAGGAGTGTTTCAGCCATTATCTCGACCGGTTCTGAGAAGCAGAATGAAAAGACTAGGCGCGGCCAAGTTGAGCGATTTTCGTCCTTTAAAAGATTGATTTCAGAAAATGTTCGATACTTGTTTTCGGCCAAAGAGACCTACAATCCTCGCCAAAAATCCTTGAAACACCCATGCACTTCCCTTTCCCTCTGCAATATTGAGATGTGATTGCAACGTTTCAGGGCTACAAAAACATTAGAAAAGGGAAAGGAAAGGGAGAGAAATTTCCCAAAGTTTTTCAAGGTTTTTGTCTGCCATAGTGGTTCGAGGTTTTTGTCTAAGATTGTAGCTATAAGGTGGAAACAGTATTGTGCGATTGACCAAAATAAAGATTTTATGCTTGGAGAACCACACTGATCATTATAACGAGATGCGGGGTCTTTGTTCTTCACCTTTACAGAGATTTTGCCCTTTTATTGGAATAGTACATCACGCACAATAAGGAGCTCGACCTCGTAAGGCTTTTGCCATTGACACACGGGTTTCTAAAGCTAAGTAGGTAAAGCCGCCATTTTTCCGCGTGGACTATCATATCCTGAGCCTGTGTTAACTCCTCAGACTACTTTCGACTCGATTTAATTTTGTATGCCATTTGGGTTCTGAAATGCCCCATTGACCTTTCAGCGCTTGTGAAAGACATGCACTCGAATGTATGGTTCATTGTAATGCAGAATAATTTGTCGTTTTATGGTTACTGTGTATTTCATTTCCTGCCAGAGCGTTTCCTTCAAAGTACGACCACGACTTGTACAAGTTACATTTGGAAGCCATGTTTAAAGGTCTTCTAGTTCATCTTGATGACCCAACATCTTCTATACAGGTAAAATTACTCTTGCTCATCTGACTAATTAGGGCAGTACGCAAGGATTATAAGGTAGATGCAACCCACCTGAAGTATTCAGGTTTAACTGATGGAATTGAATGAATAGCCGGTAAACCATTAGCTACAGGCTGTATGATCTAAATGAAACGTGTGTCCAGGGACCTATGTCGTTGTCACAAAGACCAGTTCTTTGGAGTGAACTTTTCAGGTATACACAACAATAAAAAGCAAAACAAAAACATAAGAAAACTAGCAACAAACAAGAACACAATAGTAGGAGTGAGTGGTTAGATATTGGACCTTGAGTAGATGGGAATGGGGTGTTCTGTTAACATAATTATATTGTATCATGAAGAACAAGCGAGTCATGTAAAATCGTTAGCTTTTGGGTCGTTTTTGTCAAAAGACATGAAGGTAAAATTTAGCTTCTAAGACGGAAAAGAGATTTCCGTCTTATAGAGAGTCAACTACAAGTAGTAAAGAAAGGCAGGGACACCTCTTGGCGTCCGTTTCAGTGAACTGTCTGTCACAGAGTCAACTAAAAGGTGTAAAGAAAGGCAGGGATAAACTCTTGGTGTTTGTCTTAAAGAAAGTCAACTAATAAGAGTAAAGAAAGAGAGGGATCAACTCTAGGCATCCATACTAGCGAGGTGTCACTCCTATAGAGGTGTCTATTGTGGGAAGGATGGTGTTGACCAAGCGTTATTTTGCAGGTGTGTTGTAGTTCGGTGATGACCAGTTGGAATGTAGTCTTAGCCAATGATGAAATAGTAAATTCTGCTCTATTTGCAGGAAGCAGTTCTCACTGTGTTAAAAGAAGCAGCACATGTGCAACCTCTCTTGTTGAAAGAACAGGTTGAGTCTGTTAGGCACAAGCACAGAGTGGCCAGGTAAAACAGACAGTTCTACAATTGCTTGTATACTTGTTACCTGCCCTAGTAAACACACAACTCACAACTACTTCTCTTTAACAATCAAACAGAGGAAAAATGTCCGATATCTTTTCTTTATTTAATTATAAACAACGTTTTTCACATTATTTTTATCATCTCTAGAAGAGGTTAACTGAGAAATGCCTAAGTGTGGTAATGTTGAAGCAAAACTTGAAAAAAATGGCCTAACCAGTATCATGATTTCAGGAGTCCTGTGTCTTCACTGACAATGTTTTGCTTACTTTTGTTGTGTGTAGATATTGCGAGGAGCTTATAACACATTGTCAAAGCCTTACAGCCAAGTCGCAGTCTTACTTAGCTTCTTAAGAATCATTAACATACCACCAAATGATGAGCCCACTGTTAGAAGCTCATTGCAAGACTATGATGAACTTAAATGATTATCCTTGTACATGTGAAGGAACAAGGACGCAAAGATGGACACTCTGACAAGCAGCGTTTTGGTGTCGAGAACAAGCTGGTCTGCAGAGAACCATTTCCTTTAATGGTTACCAGTCTGATGTGTTATTGTTCTGGGTTGTTCATGAACTATGGCTGTTCAGGATTAACTGACAAAGCCTGTTTGTATCATAAATTATTTTAAAGATTTCAATGGAAACTTGCTTTTTAACATTGATATCAGACAGTCAGTTGTGAGAAGGATGTAGATATTTGTTCTTGTATCAACAGGTCTGGTTTTATGTTTGCATTTCTGTTAAAACAATTGAATTCCTAATGCATATATTAGGTGAAAATCGTCTCTACAGGAACACTGCTCAGTAGGTCAGATTTCGACAAAGGCCATTCTGTGATGTGTGCAACATAGTCTTTTTGACATTCATATAGCACTATGAAAATTATTCAACAATAAATTATTTCCTTTAACTCTGCATGTGAACAAGGTACAGGTCATTTCTTAAGTGTTCTGAGAAGGAAAAATTCCTTTGAGAAATCTACAATGGTCTATCACTCTGAGGCAGTTTCCAAAGTTTAGTAGCTTTTTTCTGCTATAGGATTGGCATGGATGGTCACATTCTTTATCCGAACATCTGTGAGTGGCCTATATGTTTTCTCATTCACTGGCAGTTTCTCTAAATCGTCAAGAGTTTCCAGACCATCAATGACCCTGCAGATTATAAACAACAACGGTAACTTATGCCTTGACCTGAACACTTGTGCTCAGACATGACTCAGCTACTATGGTTAAATTTCTTACATCAAATTTAAATTTCCGATTGTTTGCACAATGTGCTTGCAGGTCAAGACTTGAAGGAAAATTAACTAGAAGAGATCAACAGAACCTTCAGGAGTGACCCCTACACTTGAGTAATAAGTGCATTACCTTGATCACACCTAACTTGATCTCCACAGACCAAGGCAAGACCTTTGTCTTTTGCGAGATGTATGACATAGAATCACATGCTACAGCTCAACTCCTTACAAATGTAGCTATTTACCTTTAATGATTGACACTGATAATATTCATATTATTATAATTATTGATTTGCAACACTTTGCTTTACCCGTCTTGGGGGAGGGTTTTAATGTTATGTAGCACTGAGACTTAACAACTTGTGACATACTTTCCAAACACAGTGTATTTCATGTCAAGGTGAGGTTGTTTGCCATAACAGATGAAGAACTGTGACCCATTTGTATCCTGTCCACTATTTGCCATTGATACTGTTCCTCTCGCATTATGCTGTCAGGGGATAACAAAATTAGATTTAGCCTAGAAATATGTCTGGAAAAAGGCAAACAGTGTGAAATACGGGGAAAAACCC